TAAAAGGGCAAAAAAATCGAACAATATTTCGTTAACGGTTTTCGTACTTTTAATATAGTACTAGTATCTATAAACATACGTTGCACGCTAATAATGACATATGATGATTTAAATATTTATTTATATGAAGAAACAATAAAATTTAATTAAATAGATGATCAATTTTAGTCATGTTAAGTAGATAATTAAGTATTGTAGTTTAAAGGTATCTAATGTGATGGTATCTTACTGAACACTTCTTTATAGACAATGTTTTTTTGTATATGTTTCCTTCTAATGCTTTGGTTACTATTGTGGTAAATATAGTTCAATATTTAGGATGTTTGTCCTTGTGCTTTATTTATTATAACTGCAAAATATAAACATACTAAAAATTATTTTCACATAAATTTAAAAGGATATTCTTTAGTTTCGGAAGACGAAAGTTGAATTCGGGGATAAACACATATTTAGAAGCATATTGACCAGTATCATAAGTTCTGCATGTGTGGTGTTATTGTCAAAACTTCTATATACCTGTGTACTATTACATAAGCTATTCAGCGGATCTAAGTTTTTAGTAGCATGACAGGCATAAACATATATGCAATGGGAGATCAATTTTAACTTAGTCTATTATATATATGGTGAAACTAACATATGAAAGAAATAATGAACTTGACAACAAACATGTACGGTAGAAGGCCAATTGGTATTAAAGTATTTAAGTATTTTTTTTGGTAGTTATTGTTGGTATCATCTTTTGTTGAGTCAAAACTGAATAATATTTTGTTTTTACCATAAATCTTAGCAATCAACCTTTTATTTAGTTGATCAACATATTCATTTCTGCTAGCTAAGATAATTCTTTAATTTCTATCATGTAATTTGCACAAATTGTCTTTTAATCTAGTGATGAAAATATTTTCCTTATTAAATATACTACTATTACTATTGGGGTTGATAATCAAGTGTTCTAGAAGAACCAAATCATCTTTTATTAGATGCTCTTCTTCATTTCCGACACGAAGCAAGAAGTCACTAAGTGTTGGATCTTTTCTTATTTTTACATTTCTTGTCATTTAAATATTTTTTCATTTGAGGTCATAAGTATAATTTTGGTAAGCTAGCTTATATAGTTTCTGCTTTGGTCATTTTTGGAACTACTGATCGTACTTGACAGAAATCACCACTTTTCTACCAAACGGTTCATCGATAACCAATATATCTCTAAAACTCTGGGCGATTGTTTCGATCGTCTGACGCTTAGCTAAAAGCACTTCATCCCATATTATCACCTTTTCTTTCCTTATAAATTTAGTACTATTGATCTGATGTGATATATTTGTGATGGTTATTTCAGTTATTTGAAGAGGTATATCAAATCTAAAGTGAGTTGCACGACCTCATAATAAAATCGTTGTTGGTACACCACTTGTTCTTATTGCTAACAATATCATGCCTCTTGATATGACATTTGCAAGTAATGCAGGACATAGGAATATTATTTCGATTCCGCCGGAGGCATCTACAAAGGATAATTCTGCTATACCAGGATCGATTTTTTATAATATAGTCTTGAAAGCTTATTCTTGTTCAGGATTTAGCTTTGTTTGTGATTCCTCAAAGACTTGTATGTCCTTCTTAATATTATATATTTTTTCAATTTGAAAAATAATTTTACTCGTATGATGAATTTAAAAAATAATTTAATTGGATTCTCTTGCTAAATAATTAATTGAAAGATTTAATTATTTGGTTTTAACATAAAATATAATTTATTTTCTGTTGATTTAGATTCTTAATATTAGTTCATCTCATGTTTGAATATTTAACCGTAATTATAATTTTATCCACCATAAATTTTATTTTCAAAGAGTAAAAAGATCGATGACATTTCACTTTTAGATCTTTATATTTTCAAAATCATTAGAGGTATTGGCTCTTATTAACATTTTTCTTTCTTTTCTCACACATTTATGTTCTTAAATATTTTCTTAGTTGTTCTTTAATAACTTGGTATATTTTTATATATTACAAGAAAAATTAATAATAAATTTTTTTTATTTGAGTAGGAAAGCAGTTCAAATATAATACAATAATATATTATTGTGAGGATTTTTTTTCTCAATTTCAACGCTTTATGCAGTTCGTTTAGCATACTCTTTTTTTGTATTGAATATTATAAAGTGGTAATGTATTACCAATACAGAGGATTCTTATGAAATTGATTTTATTAAACCTTCCTACATATTTTTAATAAGAATTCAATAGACCAGATTGTATTAATTTTAAAATCTTAAATATTAAAAACATTAACATAGAAGTTATTGTAGTCCAAAAAAATAAGTTATTACAGCAATGTACTTTCCCTATGAGTTCTTCTGTTTAATATTTTAGGAGTATTTTGGTTTATCAATATTATATTCGTGCTTTTATAATAATATATGCTCTCTCCTGTTTCTAAATGGATTTGGACAATATAACACGTTTTCAAATTAAATTAGTAATAAGAATTTTTTAAAAAGTATATCCTAAAAGTAATAGGATTACAAGGCTAATATCTATGCCCGAAAATAATTATACTAATAGGATTTCTAAAGGTAATCATGTAGTATTTCTAACGTGAAGTATTATGTTCTAAAACAAATATGATTACAAAACTAATGTCTAGAATTCCGATTATGTCGAGTTATTATGCTTAATATAAAAAGATTATTTTTGTAATTAAATATTTTATTCATACTTTTATAATAATATAGATAGATATTGTTTTCCTTTAACCATTTTGTCACCCTATCTGCAGTGCCTCTTCAGCTTCTTGACCATAAGTAAACTCGTTTGGTTGATTGCTTGGGGCTCAATATTTTGTTTTTCTCAATCTGCTTCATGTCTATTAAAAACTCGTTTGGTTTATTTATTGGGCTTTAAACAGTTTTGGCTCCATAATCACTGCTTTTACCCTTTTTTAGGCACCGTAAGAGGATCGCGATGCTGATTTACGTTTAGTATCAGAAAAGTAAGTTAATTTAACTGACTAAAGTGATCCGGAACATCCTTATCAACACCATAACTATAAACAAAGGTAATCACACAACAATACATGAAAAATAACACATTGACTTCGAATAAATCAGAATAAGCATAATTTAGGGTTTTAACTTGTAGTAACTGTTCTTCGACTGCAAAGGTTCAAATTATGGCTCCAGAACAACAAGACATTACTTCAGAAAAATTATTTCAATGCTCTTTCAGGTTAAGCAAGCGTCGCAGCTATGGGGAAAAAAGCTTGGAGTTTGTAGGAGAACTTGAGAGTTAAAACTTGGGGAAAGGGTTTTCCCACTTAGTTGTAGAGTTTAAAGTTTGCCCCAAAAGTTTTTAAATATTCTCTTAGCATTTTCTTGGGCCAAAAAAAAGGATAAAGAGAAATAAATAGGGGCTCCAAGAAATAAAATAAAAACTTGTGGGGGTGTGCCAACTAATTCTTCCGAGTAACTCTATGTATTTTCTGTTTAGAAAACAATATATATATATATATATATATATATATATATATGTAGAAATTTGACAGACCTGTTAAGTGATAATTTGAGGAAATTTTGTCATAATGAACACAAAACATTGGATACCTTGGAACTTGGCCTCAAATATCTAGGAAGACACCAAACTGCACGTGCACATAATCCTATGAGTATTTGTCACTATGTCAAAATTTCATGATAGCTAGGATTGAGAGGAGACAAGGTTGATTTTATTTTATGAATATATGTTTATGTTTTTCTCCACTTTAACTATTCAGTTTGAACGTTACTGGTCAAATTAATTTGAACTCGCGTAAATACGTCCACTAAGGAAGTAAACTACTTTCTATCATAACAATTATCCATTCCTAAGGTTAGAAAAATTGATACTTCAAGTTAGGAATATATGTATAGTATAAACTATTTTACTTGTCCAGTTGTTCGACATTAGTTAGTTACGTTGCACCAAATACAAATATGTTTTGGTCCATACTCTCACATATCGTCTTCCATGCTTCTCCACATTTCCTCAACTTACTATGCTCCAAAAGCCAAATAATTTTTGCATCTCCATGTTTATTTTATTCAATTTAAGCCCCTGTTTTTAATTGACAAAAGGACAAAACACACCGTCAAATTTAGCAAAGTCAAATCTTTAATTAAAGACATTAGATTAGCTTGCCATCAGTATTTAATGAAGCACTTATCATCTTGCTTAAGATTCTAGTTGGGATCAAGGTATGTCACATACTTAGTTAACAAGACGACATACTTTTCAAGCAAAATTTATTTTAAATTCATTGTCTTAAAGCTTAATTAATTTGTTAGTTAGCCACTAAAATTTTATTAAGGTTGCATTGCTAAGTTTCCCAAATTAATGCTTTTCAAATAATATGTAATCTTTCAGGATTGATAATGAAGACAGGTAGTAATTTCTTCGACTCTTTACATGTGATGGGAAACCATATTAGACAAGAAAAAATCTGCAGATATATAGACTGTAAATACGAAGTCAGTCAAATCTTTACTTTTTTGGCTCATTTCCGACATCCTTCAAACACCCTACTATTATACCACGTTAAATCTAGGTTTTCACAATACTTTTTCTTTTTAATAATTTTTCCGAACCCCACTTTTGAGATTCTACTTGTTGTTGTTGTTGTTGTTGTTGTTATCTCCCGCTAATATAAGTAACTCTTTCCACTAAAGCTTAGGATAGTAGCAAAAATTCACCAAGCACTTTTTATCTTTTTTGATATATGAATCCTATTTTTTTACAATTTTTATTACCATTATGCCACATCTTCGAATTCGCGAGCATTTTAATTGTTATCGAATTATGACCAACTACTGAACACCTCTTTAATATTGTACTACTAAACAAAGATCCTAGTTATTGGTTTGTCTTCTTTCTCTAGATTCATCGCATTGATTTTTTCACCTTTAGAACCATTCCTTTTATATATTTGCATATAGCTTCACTCTCTCCTTCAACTCAACCCAGCAATTGCAACCTAAAGAAGGTAAGAGCCCAACTCTCATTCGCCTTCATTTTTTGCATTTTAGTGTTTTATACGAAGTAAAAGCTCTAAACTCTGCTCCTTCGATTGATTATTCGCGCATTCTTAATTCAAAAAAGAGTTGTGGCTATGGCTTCTTCATGTCCTAGTCCACATGCAAAGTTTTCATTCGAGTGTCGACCAAAGTTGCTTAAAGATTTCCTCCAAGACGAGTCCCCTTCTTACTCCTCAAATATAAGTTTTCAATCACACCCTCAAAAAGCTTATAAATCTACAAGTCAAAGATTTTTGAACAAAAATTCATCTCAACTACATAGAAGTCGATCATCTAGAGCTGCTTCAGCTACTATTTCCGCCATTCACAAGGTCATTAACATTGTTAAGTTCTTGCCATTTACCTATGTTAAATCCCCATCCATTTTACCTAGAAGCATTTCGAGAAAACTATCAAGAAGAAATCACAAAGAGACTGAAAACTATATTTTGAACCATGAGGTCTCAGTTACTGTCAAAGTCAAAGTCAAAGATATCTTACGGTGGAAATCATCTAAGGACCTAGTGGAGGAGAAATCTACACCGTTGGATTATGCTCATTCCCCCTTTAAGTGTGATTTTACTGCTGAGAATTTATCTTCTTGGTGTGGTGAAATAGACGAATGCTATGGCAAAAGGAATTTACTTGAAGAAGGTGTCGGTGGTTGTTGCGTTACAGAGACAAGAGGAATCAAATTGGACCCCAAGGTAATTTTCTTTTGGAGTTTTTCTTCTTTCCTAAATATACTAAATTGATTTAATAGATTTATTATTAGTAATACTGTACCATCATATTGCATGAACTTTTGCGTCCTTGTTGAAATAAATCTAATCTAAGCCTCGTATAGAGTTTGACGTGGCTTCAATAATATCTTTTACTAACTTATTAAAATTGGGTTCTATGGTTAATTTCATCATATAGTCCTCAGCTCATAATAGTTAGTATCTGGTAAATAACAACTCGAATATATCTCGAGAGGGGATGGATTGCACGTAAGGGTGATGATGAGATTTGAGTGTAGGATCTAATCTGTATGTTAAAGTGAGTGACTATATCATTTAAAAGTTTAAGTAATTACTTGAGAGAGTATATATACTTCTAATTATTTAATTATGCCTTTAATTAACAACTTGTACAATTTTAGTTGTTGTCATTATTAATTTGGATAACAGTGAAGTACTCCATCGAATTTACAAATTGAGCTATATATATATATATGATGGACTTATGTAACAGGAACACTATGAGAACGAGCAGCACAGTCCAGTCTCAGTTCTTGAATCTCCATTTCGTGAAGATCAGGACGAATACTTTTCTTTCCATAGAACCCTTGTTGATACTGACAGTAAGTTTCGATCTCCAAGTACCTCAACGATTTAGCTTATATATAATGACAGCTAGCCAAAATATCTTTTACAGTGTACTTTAACTTATTATTGTAGTAGGTACCTATCTTACTTTAGATTATAAATTCATTTTTTTGATAGCTTTTACAAGTCAATGTAGAAAGTTAAAACTCTTATGGTAGTGGTCGATCAACTTGCATGCACGGCTATTCCAATTACCTCAATACCTTCAAGTTATCTTTTTTCTACGAGGAAGTTTGTGTTATGATAATATCGTTTAAAAGACAGGAATTAGCAACGGACAAATTCTATAGCCAAACATAAAAATTCATCACAAATCCTATTGAGCAATGGATTAGCGACAAATATCAAGAAATTCTGCTAGCTACGAGCGACAGATTAGCGACGAAATTCGTAGCTAATTCCAGTTGTTTTGTAGACGATGATGATTAACTTGTCACTATATTGCAGGAAGAAAGTGCATGCTCAGGGAAAGAATTCAAGCGTTTGAGAGTCTAGAAGAAGGAAACACTAGCTTTAACGAGGAGGATGAAGAAATACAAGAACAAGAAACGCATGAGATTGAAGAAAACGCAAAGAAATTATTAAGCCATTTCAAAGAAACTGAAAAGTTGTGCACGGAAGATTGTGAAGCAAATGTGGATCAGCTTTTGTTGGATTTCTTCTGGCATGAACTGATTCAAAACAATGTTGATGAAAGTGAAATCTTAATGAAAGAAGCTAAATCTTTGATCAATGGAGAGTATAATGATGAATTTGAGTGGGAGAATGAGGACAAAAGGGAGGCCTATATAAGGGATATGCAAGAACTAGGGAGATGGAATTACAAGTTTGAAGAGGAGAAAGAAGAGTTGGCGTTAGACTTGGAGTTTGAGGTGCTTACTGATTTGGTCCATGAGGTCTTGGTAGATTTTTTTGCTCTTAATCGGTAGTAGAAGTGCACAAAAATACTCGCTTGCTGTCTTGTTCTCTATCGTCATGAACTGAGACTACGAGCTGTAAAGGTAGAAAAAAAAATAGATCACGAGACGGTGATTCCGTTTTTTTCTTGAAAACAACTTAGAATTTGAGTTAAATCAATTCGATCTTTGTGGTCTCTCTTTTACATGTATGCATATTGACATGTATAGAACGTGATGTAGGACTAAATTGTAGCTCAACTAGGAGAGGCTGAATTACAACTGTGTTCGTTCTGTACCCAAGATTTTTAAGTTGTGGGTGCTCAACCGCCTTAAATCTCAAAGTGCGGTTGGAGATTGGCTGTTGTATGTTATTAGTAGTAAATATATAGTGTTTGGTTAAAGCAAAATGGCTGCGTGAGTACCCAGTAGTTACACTATAGGTCCGCCAACGGTTCTGTATAATTCCAACATACAGAAATGTTGCACGCAGAGTATCATCTGTTTGGAAAGTTGAGAAACCTAGAAATGTTGAACAAACCACATTTGTATTAATGGCATATTTTGATCTGATCGATTTTGGTTTTGATGATTGACAAAGGAATACATGCATGAACCAGGTCCATGGACAGTGTACCCACGTGATGGACAGAATCAAGCAAAAGACATGCACGTGAAAGAGATAAGTATAAGTGATTATTTCTTTTAACCCTGAACGAAAAGGTTGCATATTTGATAAGGAGCATGATTCCTTACTTGAAAAGAACTCTATCCAAGATAAGAAAATAGTTAGAAGCTGAAGTTGACTAGGACTCTTCCACCAAGGAAGAGTAAAGTATTAGAACTCTAGTTAACTCTTATTCTACTAACTCTATAAATATCAGTTTTGTTCTCTTTTACATGTGACACGAACATACAGAAGTAAAAGCATGAATTGAGAGAAAAATAGCAAGGCATTTTGTGAGCAATTCCTGTGAGATTCAAGAGTGTGATCCTGAAGCTACACGAACCAGATTGAAGAATCAGTTTCATAAAGAGTTTTATGTGTCTTTCTTTATTTCTAGTCCAAAGTGTAGTAGGCGTTTTGAGTTGTACCTTTCAGCTTTCTTAGAAGCAAATTGTACTAGGTACCTGAGTTGTATTATTAAAGTTAGAGTTAACTTGAAGTAGTCGCAACAACATGTGGCGTATTGCTACAAGGTTAGAGTTAATCCTTAGGTTTGCAAGAGGTTGTAAACTTGAGTTGTATTGTTCAAGTTAGAGTTAACTTGAAGCAGTCGCAACAGCATGTGGCTGGTTGTTATAAGGGTTAGAGGTAATTCCTAGGTTTGCAAGAGTTTGTAAACTTTGTTGTTGGCTCAGCATTGTAGTGAAGTGTTTGGGAAATCCTACTGGGTAGTAGGTCGTGATTTTTTACCTGCCGGGTGTTTTCCCCATAAAAATTCTTGTGTTCTTTAATTTTTGCATTATTTATTTCGCAACTGTAGCGTAAGGAACACATATAAGAACCAGGTCCTTCGATAATCTAGTGCACGAAAAAGTTGGACACCACACAAATCACCCCATCTTGTGTGACATTGAAGTATTAAACATCAATTGGTATCAGAGCAGGTTATCCTTGAAGAGGCTAACACCTTAGGAAAAGATCAAGATGAGTGCACTACCTGAAAATTGTAAAGATCAATCCACCACTAGGCCACCACTATCCAATAATCACTACTATTCTTTGTGGAAGGAGAGAAGAAGATATCACTTTCAAATAACTGATGGATGCTTCAAATGTGATAAAAAGAACCACATGTTCAAAAACTGTCCTATATGGGAAGTCGAGTGGAAAAAGGAGAGTTCTAAAAGAAGAAACAGAAAGAAGGAACAAGTTCATGATAAGAAGAAATACAACAAAGGGCCATCCAAAGCAATGGTTGATGCTTGGGAAGACATTTCAGATAAGGACATTGACGATGATGATGCCGAACGAGCTCTTATAGCAATTCAAGAATCTGAAGATGAACCTGAAGAAGAATCCGAGATAAGTTTTCTAGGCCTAAAGGATAAAATTAAAGTCCTTTTTAAAGATAGACTATCAGAATTATTGCTAACTTTAATTGATGAATCTAAGAATATAAGTTCTGAAAAAGAACAATTGTCAAAGGAGTGTGTCATTTTGAAAGCAAAGTGAAAAAACCTAAAACTTAGGGCTTGAAACTGAAAATGAAAACGCTGTGTTGAAGAACCAGGTTCATGCACTTGACACATCTCTTCTAGAACTTAGATCTAGAAATCTGAAATTGAAGTTAGGAGCAGGTAAAGAAATAGCTAGTGGCACACAACTCTCACTAGAAGAGGATCTAGGAAAGGTAAAAGATGAGCTATATAAAAGGGATGAACTGGTAAGAACTTTGAAAGAGGACTTGAATAAGTTTAAGCATGAGTTAGATAGAACATGTAAATGGAACAGGTACTCCGATGCACTTTTATGGCTACAAGAACACCATAGTAGCAATAGAAAGGGACTTGGCTTTGGAAACTCTGCACCCAAATGGGATACTAAAAATAAGTACCTAACACTTCCTAAGAATAAAATTTGCACTCATTGTGGTAACATTAGATACTATAGGAGTGAATGTGTAGCAAAATAAAAGGCAAGTCTAAGAAACAAAAAATTTGTTCTAGGGAAGAATAGGCTGCCAAGTTGGGCAAAGAAAAAATTAATTTATCCATTTGCCCATAGAAAGGGACCGAAACTAGTTTAGGTTCTTAAGACTAACCTCTAATTTTTTTTTTGCAAGTCCAAATGAGAGAGAGAATCCAAATATGGTATATGAAAAGAGGTTGCTCAAAACACATTACAGGAAATAATAAAAGGTTCCTTTCATTTGTGGCCTTTAAAAGAGGTAATGTCTCCTTTGGAAATAGAGAGAAAGGTGAGATTATTGGAGTTGGGAAGGTAGGAAAATTAAATTATCACTCAATTAAGAATGTCTACCTGATAGATGGATTGAAATACAGCTTGATAAGTATCTCACAACTGTGTGATAGAGGAAACATGGTAGCTTTCACCTCTACAAAATGCTTTGTGATTAATCTTACCATTGACAAGATAGTTTTGCAGGGAAAAAGAGTGAATAACATATATGTGGTTGATATGTCTACACTTTCAGATAATGAACTCACTTGCTTAAGTGTGTTGGATAATGATCCCCTCCTTTGGCACAAGAGACTTGGACACGCCAGTCTAAGCCAACTCAATAAACTAGTCTCCAAGGACTTGGGGATAGGGTTGCCTAACATTAAGTTCAAGGAAGATAAAGTTTATGAAGATTGTGCAAGGGGGAAGCAGGTAAGATCCTCTTTTAAAAGCAACAAAATAGTACGTACTACAAGGACGATGGAACTGGTCTATATGGATCTATGTGGACCAATGAAAATATTGAGCAGAGGTGGTAAAAGATATGTTATGGTGCTTGTTGATTATTCTAGGTTTATTTGGATACTATTTTTAATATCTAAAGATGAAGCATTTGACATGTTCATTTCATTTGTTAGAAAAACTCAGAACCAGCTAGGTAATCAACTTGCTTCAATTCGGTCTGATCATGGTACTGAATTTGAGAATGCTAAATTTGTTGAATTTTGTGGTGAGCATGGTATAGATCATAATTTTTATATTCCTAGAACTTCACAACAAAATGGAGTAGTTGAATGAAAGAATAGGACATTGGAGGAAATGGCTAGGACTATGCTACTTGCTCGTAAATTGCCCCATAGCTTCTGGGCAAAATCTGTGAACACTACATGCTACATCATAAATAGGTGCATGACTAGACCTCTTGTTGAGAAGACTCCCTATGAGTAACTTAAAGGGATAAAACCAAATATATCTCACCTTAGTTTATTTGGATGCAAGTGCTTTGTGCACAATAATGGAAAAGACTCCCTAGGTAAGTTTGATCCCAGAAGTGATGAGGGAGTATTCTTGGGATATTATTCACATAGTAAAACTTATAAGATTTATAAAAAAAGAACTATGTGTGTAGAAGAAAGTGTACATGTAATTTTTGATGAAACTAACATTCTTTTTAAGAGGCAGGAACAGGATGATGAAGCAATTGGGCTGGTAAGAAACTCAAATAAAACCACATCCCAGATTGAAGCTACACCAGAGGAAGGAACATGTAATGGAACAAGTCCTTCCACCCAGGGAACCCTGACAGGGGGAACTGAACAAAGAGGAACTGGCCCTCAAACTTCGAGAGAACCTGCCCATGAACCTGTTCGTCAACAACAGAACATTGAAGGAACATCTAAGGGAAACCAGTTGGTTGTGAAACCTTATAAGTATCAAAGTTCTCATCCCATTGGGAACATAATCACTGATCCAACCTCTGGAATCAAAATCAGATCTTCTTTGAAGAATCTTTGTACTTTTGATGCTTTTTTATCTCTTGTTGAACCTAAAAATGTTACTGAGGCTTTGCAGGATTTAGACAGGGCTAACACAATGCAAGATGAACTCAACCAATTTGAGAGAAGTCAAGTTTGGCACCTGGTACTAAGACCCAAGGACAAATCAGTAATTGGCACAAACTGGGTCTTCAGAAACAAACTTGATGAAGATGGAACAGTTTTACAAGAAACTAAGCAAGATTGGTGGTTCAAGGATATAGTCAAGAGGAGGGCATAAACTACAATGAGACTCTTGCTCCAGTTGAAAGATTGGAAGCAATTATACTCCTTATAGTCTTTGCTGCGTACATGGAATTCACTCTCCATCGGATGGATGTCAAGAGTGCCTTCCTCAACGGCTATCTAAAGGAAGAAGTGTTTGTCAAGCAACTTCCTGGCTTTGAAAGCAAGGAAAGTCCTGATCATGTCGACAAACTTGACAAGGCATTTTATGGGCTCAAGCAGACTCCAAGAGCATGGTATAAAAGATTGTCTAAATTCTTGCTTGAGCATGGCTACAAGAGAGGTAAAATTAACAATACTCTGTTCTTGAAAAAAAAAGGTAAAGATCTCTTGGTATTTCAGATATATGTTGATGATATAATCTTTGGAGCAATTATAGATAGGTTAAGTAAAGAATTTACTCAACTAATGAGGAGTGAATTTGAAATGAGTATGATAGGTGAGCTTAATTTCTTTTTAGGCTTACAAATAAAATAAAATTCAAATAGAACTATGATCCATCAATAAAAGTATGTGAAAGAGTTGCTTAAAAGGTTTAAAATGGAAGATTCCAAAGAAATTGATACTCTTATAGCAACAACCACAAAATTAGATATAGATGAACCTGGTTCATCTGTAGATCAGAAGATGTATAGGGGTATGATCGGCTCTTTCTTATATCTCACTACTAGTAGACCTGGCATTGTTTTCAGTGTAGGCCTTTGTGCTAGATTTCAGGCTA